TAAAATAACAAATTGTTCGGGGAAAATATTTAAAGTTGTAGTCTCCAGATTAATGCACAATATGCAAGCAACAAAATCGCATAACATTAAACGAAAAAAGTAAGATTAGAATAGCAGAAAGGCTAACCTGTCACCAACCATTAAGGTGCTTTTAGGATCAATATTATTCTGAGATGATAGTATCTCAAAGATAGGAGAATATGGCTTGCCCATTATTATTGGTGTTATTCCAGATGCTTTTTTAAGACATTCAACTATGCATCCAGTTCCTAAATTTAATAAATAGGTGAGGAACAAGATAAAGCAGAATTATGAAGACAATAAAAATTAATAAGAACCTGGCAGGGCTATGTCTTCAGTGGGAAATAGAGCATCATCATTTGTTGCATAGAATGGGCAACCATTTAAAATATAATTTGTGGCCTTCAATATTTTTCTGTAGTTGATTAAAGAGTCGAAACCAACAAGAACTGCAGAAGTCTAAGGGAAGTAATTACATGAGCCAATTTACAGCAGGGTCGAGTGATATGCTTTTCCTTATTCCATCTTTGCATTCATCGGGCTTAACAAGATTGATGATATTATCTCAACTAACAAACCCCTATCCCAAAGTGTGCAATCCCAACTTTATCTAGCTCAAGTCCGATACCCTGCTCCCCAACGACATAAACTGGACCATGAATGTTTTTTCCTTGCAGATATTTGGCAGCAACGTATGATGAACAAATGACATCATTCTTAAGCTTTTATAAGTATTTAAGTTTACTTGAGTGACTGGGAGGCCAAGCTCTTGGCACTTTAAAACACATTGATCGGTTGAGCGAGTGCTGTTGTTAGTGACAAGAGAGAACCGAAATTTATTTGCTTTCAAGTACTGGAGTAAAGAATTAGCCCCTTCGATTAGTTTGTCAGATTTCCAAATAACACCTGTTTATAATAAATAAAGAAAAGCAACAACCATCACAATCAAAAAGGAAAGTCGTACAGGACCTTAATATGCGCGCCTCGTTCATTATATAAAATAAAATGATTAAAGCACAAACAAACAAATAGCAAAATTCAAAATATTACTTATAAAATAATATTTATATTATATTGTTTAGATATGTAATGGACAGCTGATCGATTGGGATCCTGCCTGGTCCTATGCCCTTTCTTAGCCCTGACTGGAGATGTCCAGGCGAACAATGGATAAAGGCAGATCCTCTGTCTCCACATTGGGTTAGTGTAAAAATATGGCGGCTCCGAATATTGGAGTCTATGAATGAAAATCTAAGCAAGAGGCAAATTCTAATTCATACTTACTTATTTTAGAATGTATCGTAAATCCTTGCATGAGAATAGTCAAGAATTTGCGGGCGCCTATCCTAATATGATATTTTACCAGCCTCATTGCTTCTTAAAAGCTTCGGCTACAAGAGAAGTAGTTTCAACAACTCCTCTAAGTGAGGTACTTCAAAAAATTGACTTAAGGGCGGCTATCAGGGATGTTCGAAGATTTAATTACGTTTGCAAGGTACTAACTTTTGATAAAATTAACTGTAAGATTATACACGTCCTTATTACACAGAGACTTAATTCATTGAGTGGGCGGTCACAAATGTTTATAATCGAATTGCTCAAAGAAGTTCAAAAACAAGGCAATATTTTTCTTTTTTTTAATTTTAATTTTAGTTTTAGCCAGTTGTAATCAAACAGCACTATTTAGAAAACTTTTAGATGATCTTCGAGAAAGCCTAGAGTTGCATAAGTATGGCCATATTGGAAGCGCAATATTGTGGCAGAGCCATCTGAATGCCCTTGAAAAGATGACGTATGAATTGGACAATTTTGATATTGAGGC